TTGCGCGGGGTTTGAAAGCCCATTTTCTCGTTTTTTTTATTTTTTTATTGAATGATTGATTGATTGATTGCTGGGGGAGGGGTCGCCCCCCCCACCCCCACCCGATCACACACACACACACACACACACACTTGCGTGGGGCTTGAAAACCCATTTGCGAGGATCAGGGTCCTCGGTAGGCCTAAGGGGCCCTGTTTGCAGCATTGCCCGCCCTAAGTGAAGGCGGAGGTGCCCACCCTAAGAGAAGGCGGGCCTGATATATCGCAAGAGGCCCTCGATTGTCAACCTCATATTTGGGGTCCAAGTAGTTGCGATGCGCCAGTTGGTTGAAAGAAACTCAGGCCAGGCCACACAGACATTTCCCAGGCCTTTCCGGGCTTTTCCAAAGGATGCAGGCCCTGGGCGTGATTCACAGCCTCATAAAGAGATAGTTGGGCGCCCAACCGAACGAGGCCCAGCAGCCCAGTAGCTGCTGCATCCAGGCAGCCTACTGGGGCCTTCCGGAAGCTTCTAGGCCCAGGCCAGTGCAGCCAGGCTGCGCAAGCAGGCCGAATCTTTCCATAAAGGAAAGAGCTCTCACCCCGGCTTCTCATTCGGTCACTTGCTGGCTGGCGGCAGCGTTGCTGGAGCGATTGCTCGCGGGCTGACTGCCGGCATTGGAGCAAGAGGCTGCGCACGTGCGGTCGTGTGGGAGACCAGGGCGTTGCTGAGGGCAGCGCCATAGCCAGCCTCCATAGCAGGCTTGGCTTGGATACACAGTGAGGCGCAGGGGTGGTCTTCGGGTGAAGGAGAGTACATGTGTGTGTGTAGTCAGGGGATAGGTGAAGGATGATGATGATGATGATGATGTGAGGGCACATATCTTGTATTGGTGATGGTCTGCATGCGCGACATCTTCAAGTACTTCGGGCTGCCGCGGATGTCAACAGTTGCATTGTCTTTTTGTAGTCTGTAGTAGCTGTGTAGGTCCTGTAGGAGTAGGTTGGACGCTGAGCGCCAAGTGTGAGTGTGAAGGAACTGGACGCTTGGGTTGAGAGGAGAGAGTATGCTCTCCATGGACATTGGTTTTCAGTGCTACGAACCTCCATTGGTGTATTATTGGTGCAATGCTGCTCGTTGGACACGGTGTGACTATTTGGCTTTCAATGTGATGGTGTGATCTGGAATTGTCATCTCGTTGTTGCTTATTTTCCTTGCAATTTGGTATCGGAGCTGGTTCATATTGCGCTTCATTGGTTCTTCGCAATAGCTATTGGTGCTTCGCATGAGGTGTGGGGCAGTGATACGGCATTGGCGTTGAACATTAGGCGGCCCAGGGTTGTGTGGGCGCGCCAGGGAGCTATGTGGTGACATACGGGATGTATGCTGGATGATGAGAACTCGCTGATGTGGCATATTAAGCCGAGGTGGAACCGCATTCTGCTGTTGTTGTGCTGAGGCAAAGACCGGTCATCATAATTGCACATCAGGTTACTGGTGAGAAATCTATGGTTGGGGGCAGCATTTATGAGGTACGTTGCTCTCTTCCTTATCTACCCTCTTCATCTCTTCTTACCGTGAGGAAGTGAGTTTTGTCTTGAGGATCCTTTCGATGTGAGGTGTCGCGAGCGCTCAACCTTGAGAGTCGACATTCTTCCTGGGCAGCAAGCTGGTGGGAGACGGGCGAAGCCTCTGAAGGGCCCTGAACGAAGCACTCGGGTCACGGTCACCATGCCAACCCGCTGGGACTAGTACACGCATGCTTGGGCTGCAAGTCCTTGGTACTGCTGATTGCGCAATAGAGGTCGTGTAGGGCATGCCAGCCTTTAATGAGACGCTTACCAGACCGTTGTTGGGACTGGTGAGTCCTGAATGACTTCCCGTCACTCGAGAGACTGTATATGACTAATTTGTGCACGACAGAGAAAACCGGAGGCAGGTATGCTGGAAAGAGAGGAAGCATGGGCACGGACATTAGGAAGCCAGAGCCTAGATAAAATAGCAGCACCGGCGAAACCACTAGCAGATTGGGTATCGACAAAATAAAAAGTGTCAGGAGCCGCCGACAGGGATTGTCGTCAGAACGGGGAAGACGGGCGCGAGGCGGGAAAAAAGGAGGGCACCTGGGGCAACCCAAGGGTGTCCTGGATCAAATTGTTTTCAAGAAATCATTATATTAAACATATGAGCAATATATAGAACATAATATGATACAATTAATAAATATAATACAAAATACTATAAACAGAAACCTCCTCCTTGTCTTTGTTGGTTGGCTAACAACTTTTTCTATTCTCTGTATGGAAATATACAACGACAACAAAAATAAAGTAGCATGACGTCAGGTGGACGGGACCAGCCGGGCCGGGGAGTCCAGATGAGAACGTTAAGTGTCGCCACGGCAAGCGCCGGCGGGAGGTGCCGAGGGGAAAGAAAAGATGGAGTAGCAGCAGTAAGGGGCGGCCGGCCAGCAGTCCGAGTATCCCGGACCAGCCAGGCCAAGAAAAACGAAGTTCCGAGGGCTCCACGTGGAAAAAAGGGTTGGCCAGAGAAAATTGGAGAAAGAGGAGAAATAGATGTTGGACACTTGTCCCAACAGTCACTGAGAAAAAAAAGGAGGAAAAGGAGGGAGAATGAGACAAAGGAGGAGGAAGGAGTGGAGGAAAAAGTGCCGCCAGGTTGGGACTGCAGCGGTGGGGACTGGCAGGTCTCAATGATGACCTCATCCCTCCTAGATCCTAGGAGCCTCATAGATCCTAGGAGGGCAGTCCGGATTGCAGAGATAAGGTCCTTGGGGCATTATCTCTGCAATATCTGAATTTAAGCAGCAAAAATAAGGGGGAGGCACTTGGAGGGGCCTAGAGGTTGGGCGGTGCACCTGTTCCAGCCTACATAAGCTGGAGGTGTAGGCCGCCACTCTCATTTGAGCATGAGAGGTGCCCATGCTGCCCAAATGAGTCCAGGAAAGAGTCCGAGTGGGAGAGAAGCAAGGGAGTGAGGGTCGGAGCTAGCCTGKAGCCTKGCTATGGTGGTA